ACAGGACTAACAGTACTTAAAAAAAAAAAAATATCAAGACGTGATATCTCTAAACAGGTAATGAAATGAGAACAATCCACACCATAGATTAAATAAAGAGTTCCCAAAGGTTATACATGTTAACAGATACCTGAAGGAGGCCAAAGAGCACAAAGGCCAAAAAATTGTGTTAAACACCAGGACAATAGTCTAACTGTAAATAAGTCTTTATACTGTATTTTCATTTATTCACATATTTACCAAATAATCAGGCCTTGATAAGTTTGATGTAAAAAAAAAAAAAAAATAAAATAAAATTATTCTTTTTGTTTCTTTCAAAAATTCTAATAACTACAAGCTGTAAAAAAGTGTTAGGCATTTATTAAAATTAGTTTTACTTTTCCTTTTTTTTTTTTTTTTTTTTTTTTTTCCATTTGTGGAAATTTTCACTGGTGACAAAGGCAAAAATAACAAAAAAAGAAAACTGCACATTAACTTAAAGTAGTTCAAGTGATTAATCCTGCACTCCAAGATCTTTTGAAGTAAATATGCTGAATATATTTAGTGCTTTATACAGAAAGTTAACTCTAGATTAAAGAGCTTTGATTCTATATGTTGGTGTCATATATATATATATATATATATATATATATATATATATATATATAGTATGGTGGAGAACTGAACAGGGTTTAATTTGTTTCTGGGAACACCAGTTCTTTAATTTGCTCTCATTGGTCTGGAACATTGAATGTTTCCAAGTGATCTTGCAAGTTTCACATTTAATAAAGATTTGTTTGTTCACTTTGATTTTGATATAAATGTAATTATTAGAGTTTAACATGGATAAACCAGGTAAAAATGCATTTTTGGATAGCAGTATTTTGTTTTTGGCAACATAAAAAATTGGCATGATTTCTATATCATTTATTTTTGTTTTTCTTTAAGCTTTCAAGTTTGCTGAAATATGGAATTTTTCAAAAAATTAAAAAAAAACAAAATTAGGTTGACCTTTTAATGATTTTAAAATTGGGTTTGTTACATTAACTTACTTGCAAATACTCTTGGGAAAGGTATGAATCCACTTCTTCTCCCCCCTAGCTATGGGTTAATTAGTAAGACTTGTATCACTAAATCATTATTATATAAAACAATTATTCTTATAAACTAAAAATATTTTCTTGCTTTAAATTACCTGCAAAGAGTTGATAAGCCAAATAAAACGATTAGAATTTACAACAAAAATATTAAATACTATTTATTAGAATGTTTATTTACTAGAATAATTTTATACTTAAAACTTTGTTCATGAGGAATCAATTGTTTTCTGCAAGAAAATTTATAGTATTTTAAAATTTTAATATAAGTTACTTATATTATTCATATATTTCAGATTAATGATAAATTCTATGAATTGGGAAAAATATACAATTTAAAAATGTATCTAGAATATTTATTTTCTTCACTCATTCTATTTTTAAAGCAATAAAATAGAAAAGTTCAGTGTCTGTTGACATTTATAAATCTAAGACATTGTTATACTTAATTACAGTATGAAACGCTATTCAAAAGTTTACGTAATTTGACTATAAAAAATGATTTTTCACACCTAATTCTATTGTCTCTGACACAGTAGTCCTCTTGGGCATGTATATGGTGATTTCACAAACAGTACTTTTTACAATGGATAGTGGCAAACATCTGCACTAAATGCAGTGGGTGTGTGCAGTTCAAATTTCTTGAATGTGGGAGTATAGTCTCATAAAATTTTTTTATGACATACTTTTTTTTTAAAGATAACATTATCCAATAATACAATTTCCATTTCTGATGTGAAATTAAAAAAATAATATATCAGATAAATTTTAATACCATTCAGGATTTGATACAAATAACAAAATAATTTCTTGTGTGAGTTTGTGTAGACATATATGCATATTTCTTCTGTTTGAACCATTTTTCTGGTTTCTGAGCAAAGTTTGAACATAAATGGCCCAAGGCCTTCTGAACACTTTCAGTTTGTATTAACAGATTTTTGTGGGTTAATAACGTTGTACTTATAGGTATGCATTGTCCTACTTCAGTGGTTTCTCACTAGTGAATCTTCATGCATTAGTGGATGTCATTGTTTTTTTTTTTTCCAAATATTTCTTCTAATTTTGTGGTAACTTTTTTTTTTTTTTTTTTTTTTAATGCTGGGTTGTTTGTTTTTATAATTAAGGCATTTAACCCATTAGCATTCAAGCTGCCTTGTAAATATTGACTTTCAATGTTCAAACTGCCATAACCTACCCCATGTATACTCTGCCATAATATATGATGACATCATCATACTTATTATAAAACCCAGGTTGTGTGTGTGTGTCTGTTTATATATTGGATCGGATTTCCTACATTTTTCAACTGATTTCAACAAAACTTCACAGGACTATGTAAAATTACCTTGCGGGGGTTCTGACAGTGCCAAAAATTGGAAAAACACAATTGTTTTTGCACAAAATCAATTTGAAAACACGATTAAGAGGCATCGCTGTTGCAAAAATGAAAGGGGAACAACTCATATTGCGTTATACTTATTATAAAACCTAGGTTGTTTGTGTGTGTTTTGTTTATATATGGGATCAGATTTCCTACATTTTTCAACCGATTTTAACAAAACTTCACTTTTTTTTGGCAGGTAGTGTTTCTTATTGTCTTGCACACTTTTTTCTTTATTTTTACATTCAGAATGCTTTAAAAATTCCATTTACAAGACAATTGTTTATAATAAAATTCTATTCAATCGGTAGACTCATGACAATTGAAAACAATGTTTGAGTTTGACCAATTCGTAAAAAACAAAAAAAAACTAAGACATGTGTGTCTGTCAACCTTAAACAATAATCTTTGTCAATTTTATTTTTCAGTCTTTATGATGGTTGATACTTGATCTATCTCTTACTGTTACATCCCCGGGCAACGCCGGGCTCTACTGCTAGTTGTAAATAATACAGGAAGTCATGTAAATAGTGAAACATTGAGAGCCAATATTTATGACGCAGATTTGAGCATGTTGAATACTAAAGGGTTACTATTTTTTGATATTTTTATATTGCATAATATTTGTATATTATTGATAAATATTTCTTGGGTTTTCTTGAGTTGTGGATTTTAATCAAATAAATGACAAGGTAATTGGTAAAATAATGTAGTGATTTTTTTTTTTTAAACCAATGTATGTGTTGTCTGAATTTTCATTAGCATGACAGTTGTGGGCAACTGAATTTAAATTTATTGTTTTGTTTGTTTTATTGGGATTATCCACAATTTTCTTTTTATACAAAGTATATATCCAAAAAGCACTCAGTCATTCAATATGAACAAAAAAATGCCTACCTATGCTAATGCTGCCTATGCTAGTTCCTTATTTCTTTTAGAAAAGCCAGTATATATATATATATATATATATATATATATATATATAATTTGTTGGCACTCACTTGCATCCAAGCATTGGGACCATCATCCACTCTCTCTCTCTATTGCCTTTCTCTCCACTGGTGGCAGTAGTAGAGATGGCTGTGAATCAAAGAGTTTGACAAAGCCATTTGCATGAATTTGATTTTGGTGGACAGAGAAGCTCACATACTTGGCCAGAAGTGCCTCCCTCATGGCTCAAATGAGATTGAGACAGGCGAGATCTTGCAAACCTGGTTGCATTGGGCTGTCAGATGCTTGTTCTGACAATGTCCACCTTAGTTAACTCAGCTTGACTGGCGCTGCCCCCTTCTGCTGGTTTGGCCATTGAGATGGTGTAGATGTTTACCTATTTTGTCATTGGAGTCTTCATGGGTTAGTTGTGTTCAGTCTGGTCCTTCTTCTTCGACCTTAGTGCCATGGGACGCCTTACAGTAGTTGGAACTCCATACGGATTTGTTTTGGGGATCACTGGGACAAGTAAGCCCTCTACCATGACAAGGAGCGACCATATATATTTTACACTGGATGTCAGAATGAACAGTTCATTATCAAATGTACCACTTTGACTTATTACTATGGCAATAATAGAAATGAATCCATAAATAAAAGAATAAAACTAATAAAAGGTATGAAATTATCATTAAATATATGAGAACATTTTCTTCTTGTTGTTGCTAAAAAATAAATATTTGAGACAGAAATAATAAAGGAAGAAATTTACTACTGAACAAAAAAAACAAACAAAAAAAAAAACTGACTCTAAAGGCTTTTTGTACAAATTTGAAAATATATCCTCGTTCATAAAAATGTTATGTTCTTACAATCAATAAATAAGAAAATGATAACAATAAAATAAAACATAAAGGGTAGGTTCATTGTTATGGTGATTGTGGCTACCACACAGTATACAAACTCACTCATTAGCATGTCACTGTCAACTCAGCCCATAGGAGAGTGTCTATTTGGGTATGTGTAATAAGGTATACTCTGATTTGTTGCCAATTTACAACTTCAATCTGTACAACTTGTTATTGAGATTTTCACAATGGTTGGTTGCTTTCCAGACTCACTTCATATTAAAATTAAACAGATTTTTATTCAACATGGCTTTTTTTGTGACAATTCATATTGATGTGTCAAATATATTTTCTCAATTGTATAAATTTAACATTTAAAATCAAAGGTAAAAATGCAAAGTAAATTTGATATCTTGATGATTTTGAATTTGTTTAATTTTTCATATACTTAACATAGCTTATTGGTTTCTGAAGTTTAATGAGGTTAGTAAAATGTTAAATTTACTGTGGTCTCTTTTCAAGAGTGGGAGATGATTTTTTTTTTTTTTTTATACCTGCTACCTTTTTATATTTACACAATCACTTGCTCAAAAGTTATGGGCTTGTGTCAGATTAAGCTGTGTGTAGTAAATATCATATATGCAAAGACACACATTTTTTCGAAATAGAAAAATTGTGGAGCACAATTCTTCCTCTTGAAAGAATTTTCTCTTTCATTCAGTCACTTTCAGTTGTCATCCAACTTTTTAATTTTTATCTTTGCAGCATGGATATTGAGAATTTCAACCAGATGTCGGCGGTTATTGTCTTGGAGGAGTTCTGTAAGGAGTTGTCAGCAATTGCATTTGTCAAACAGTATGCAGCTATTACGCGACAGACACCTTCCTTGTCATAGAAATTGATCCTCTTCTTATATTCCAGCCAAAAAAAAAAAAAAATGAATTCTACAAAAGAATTTGAATAGTATCTCTATATTGCCCTAATACCTGTTTTATAAATACATCAAAGATAATTTGTAAAATTTTGACATGTTTTGCTAATGAATTGGCATCATCAGAAAAAGAATTTTATTTCACAAGAATAAGAGTGACATTAGGAAGACAAAATGTGATTCACATTAAACAACTGAACATTTTAATTTTTTTTCTTTAACATAAATCATATTTTGTCTTGCTAATGTAAACTTTGTTTTCATGAAATAAAATTATTTTTCTGATGATATTTCTCCATCAGCAAAACATGTCAAAGTAGAATTATTTTATTTTTTTTTTTTTTTTTTTTTTCACAAATTATCATACATATTTACTATTCCATCGGATTCTTGTCCAACTTCATTCATATATTTCTTCTCAGATTTTTCTTTTAACTCCTTACCATATTCTTCTAAAAGTTCTTTTCATTTAGTTTTGTTAAGTTCTCTCTTGATTATCCATCTTCTGAGTAAATGCAGGACATAGACTCAGAAAGTAAGAATCTGGGTAAGAAAATAATTTTGCTGACACTATCATATATGTATCATGGGAGCCTCACTTTGAAGGGCATTTGTCTTTTTTGAGAAAGCAACATATATTAAGCAATTTTACTAATAATGGTGAATAAGTAGAAATAAATGTTTATCAATGATTAGATCTCCTTATATGGTTAAAATTTATGCATCAACCATATCTGATCACATAGTAAAATTATCTTATCTCAACCATTATCAATTAACACTTTCAATGCTATATTGTTATAGCATTGTTGCAGAGCCATGCTGGCCTGATTTGGAAAAAAAAAATTTACTGGAAATAAATGTCTGTAAAGACACTAACTGCAATTTCTCATGGGTGCCACCATTTTGGTTTAATTAGGATACTCTGCAATGCAGACTAAGCTAAATGTCACCATAAACACAATATAATAAAATATATGTTGCAATCATGTACTCTGTCTACACTGGTTTAGAAATAGCACTAGAGAGTAACATAAATGCTAGGTCATAATATGTCACAAAAATAGGTTGTACTGTATGTTATTTTATGTTTTCACTGGTTTGGTAATAACACTAAGTAGTAGCTAGTTTATAACACAAATGTTAGAGATTGACATCCCATGATGTCTTGAAAATATAAATCAACAGCAGGCAATGTAAGTTTTGTTAAGATGTATGAGTATGTTGACAGCAGCAGATGTGTTAAAAAGAAAAAGGACATGCTGTCTCCTTTAAATATTTCATTAGACTTTAATGCTCTTAAAAATGTTTAATAATCTATACATCAGTGGTTCTCAACCTTTTTTGCTTAATGCACCATAAGTCAGAATGTCTTTTCCATATCTTTCCAAAAATTGTCCAACTCAAAAGGTGCAGTCCAAATAATATGTATATATTATTGAAAATCTTCATTCTTTTCCATATTAGTACATATACATTTACATGGATTATTTTTTATAGAGGAGTTTTATAAATTTAATAGCAATAGAAAATATTGACAAATTTTTAAACTTGAATACATGTATAGTAATTTGTTTTAATTCATAACTAATTATTGAATAAATAAATTGAAGCATACTTCAATAGACTAAAAGTTCAATAGAATTCCAGGGTATTGTAATTCAGTAAACAAAATTCTGCAAATTAAAAACAAAAGAATGCAAAAGATTTTTCTCTCTCTCTCCACCTGAAACCCTGAAATTATCCCCTAGGTGTGAATTTTACCCCCTGGTTGAGAACCTCTGCTATACATTGTGATACATTATGAAAAATGGCCAAACTGTTACATGTGCATCTAATTTCTTGTCTATTGAATTGAATCTTTTCCTATTTGACTTTTCCTTTTTATTTTTTTTTTTACTGATTCTATTTAATTTTAGAATAGCATTGTAGTTTTGCTGAAATTATTCCTTCTTTTATCAGATGTGTAATCAAAGTCTCCATGTCTCAGGATTTGGTTGGCTTTGTTCAATTATATACATTTATTTTCTTACCTTTTATTTATTTCCTTGGTTATAATTTGTTAATGTCTAAAAAATATTTGTAAATATATTTTTCATATATTTTCTTAATCTTTTGAAAATCCATCTTTGTTTAAAAATATGTGTGTAATATTTAATGTTCATAACTGATCCCGAGTACTGTTCTCATAAAATTATCGTGTTATACCTGAAAAAATGTTTAAACAGCAAACTTATGGCATATAACATTGTTATAGTTATGTCTGTTTAATTAGCTATAATATTAGCTTACTTTTAATAACATCACATATCAAAACGATTTCAAAGTTAAATTTAGAAAATGTAATTGTCATTCAGGTTTGATTAATTAGCATGGAATGGCTTTCCTTTGAACTCTCATCCTAAATTTTTTGTTATGCATCTGTACGTAAACATGAAAGATCACATTGCCTAATATTTTAAGGGGAAACAAATCTTCCTGATCACAGTTGTTTCCCTTAGCTATGTCCTTAGGAAAATTTGTAATGACACAATTTTCGTTTAGTCAAATGAAAGAATGAACTTTGATGAAAAATTTCCCCTTTACTGAATAAAATATTAATAAATACTGAAATATTTTTTTAAGTAAAATTTAAGTCAGGATATCATCTTATTTAAAAATCTATGATCAGATTTATGAAACCTTCATTTTCAAGTTTTGATAATCTTTTATTTTGGCCCAAGAACCACTCAAATTAGAGGTATGCTGTGTAGCGTTGTTCAAGCCTAAGAAAAGGCAAGAAGTGAAGTTCATGGGGTTATGCAAGAAAGATAACAGTTAACCATAGACTTGAAGAGGTCAAGATTGAAGTTTAGACAACCTTTAAAAGTATTCCAAGGTTATGCGATTTTTGAGGTGAGGAAATAAAACACAACATTACACTTTTTTCGTCTTCCATAAATTCCTTTCGGAATTAGCTTGAGATAGATTTCTTATCCAAAGTTAATTTAACAGCTAACTTTGGAAGATATGTTGATGACATTCATGGTCACAAAAGTAGAACTAAAGGAGAATTAAAGATGTATTGAGAACCTGCAACTTCCAATTACCATAAAAGTTGAAACAAAAAACTAGCATCATGTATAAAGTAAATAAATTTTCAGTAGTGACCTTTTTTTTCTAGAGTAACCTTCAAGGAATTTTCAATTGAACCCTTTATTTAATCTACATTGATCAGAATGAGAATAATTTATGTTGAAGTCTTACCTTATTTCTTTTATTCACTTTGAGCCTGTACTACCTGTCTTAGAGATTGAACTCACAATTACTATATAACCAACTTTATGAAACAATGCTTTAATCCACTAGTTTATTATATTGTGCCTATTCTTTGATGTCCTTGGATAATCAGGGAAATTTGATGTCTAGATTTTGTCTTGTTTGTACCTTATCTTTGGCTACTATACACTTTAGCCATCCTTGGATATCTGTTGCATTTTTGAAATATCAAACCTTGTACTCAGTGAGTATGCACTTCCTGTTCCACACATCTCACATCTGCAAACTCTTATAACCATTCTCTATTGAACTCTGACATTAGGTAGATAGTCTTTGTACTGCAAAATATAAGACCTTAAGAAAGGTGAAATTGCATATTAGCCAAAATATTGTGATTTTAAAAAAATTATTAAAGGTAAAATATAACAGTACAATACAATGAACAATACCTTATTTCTTTTGCCTCATAATTTCACTGAGCATTTTTCTTTAATTTGTAATCATTTTTGATTTACAGTTTATTTTCTAACTTCTCAGTCTTATAGCACTATAGTTACTTTCTGTGCAACCATGGCAAGACTTTCCTTTTTTGTTTCTTTACATTTAAATATATTCTTTTCAAAATAAGCTGTGATGTCTCTCATTTAAGTACTTTTAGAAATAGATGTTGATAATCTGACTGCAAATCAAGTAAATAATCTCATTTAATTTAAAAAAAATTGAAGTAAATAATAATCTCATCTAATTTAAAATTACTCTTATTTTTAGCTTAAGCAATTATACAGTTACTATTTAGTAAACAGATTTTTGCCTAAACTCTTGACAATCTTGATATAATTTTTTTTTTTTTCCACAAGAGCCTATTTCTTTTTTTTTCCCCCCTCTTCTCTGTTTGTCATATACATTCGTAGACATTTAATGAAATATCTTTTCATTTATTTGATACATTTAATTTTTTTTTCTCCAAGAACTTTTTTTAAACTAAATTCTGCATTTCTCAACTGTGCTTATGTGGACCCTTCATTTCACCGGTCAGTTTTATGCTTGTAAAATCACTTGTGCTAGTTTGTAAATATAAACTTTATATTTTTAGTTTGAAAGGTTACTGCATATGAGAACTTTTTTGTGTATGTGTCATATAATGATCACGATCGAGGCTTTGAGCTTACTGGCCTGGTCCAAATTGATGATCATACCAAACTATGCTCCCTCTCCCAGAAATTGTAGCTAAGGTTTGCTCAGAATAGTTGCTGGAATAACTACTGTGCACGTTGCACAAACACAAATGTACCTGAGCAGGAGTTCGCAAAAGGGGTTAGTAGTTTTAAGGTGTGCTATATTTATGGGTTAAAGTGCTCAATATCAGGGATAGTGTATGTAAATATAAGTGGATATTGAGGTCAACACTGAATGCTGACAGTTTGTTTTATACTTTAACCCAATCATCAGGCCTGACAATTGTATTTAAACATGAGGCAAACTGTAGCCACTAGGTGTTGACCTCGATGTCTACACACACATATATGCAGCATATGTCTAAGCATATTTGTTAATGTGTAAACAAACATATTTCATTGGATAATATAGACATAGTATATCTATTCATATAAAAATCCTTTCCAGTTCTCTAAT